CCCTGCCAAAACAAAACACAAAATTCAGTATCACTCACCCAAATACAAGGAATCCTCCCCACTCCAGCTACTTTTATTTACTGCTGTGACAGCCAGGCTAAAAACACATTTGAGAATTACTTCCCCTTTATCTATTTGGTCTTATGATTTTGGAAGTCCGGAAGCCAGTTTCTGCAGTAAAAACCAGGAGACAGTGAAGAACCAGGTATTTCCCCCTTTCTTTTTTTATCATAAAAAATAACACACCAGCAAAAAAGATACCTTTTTAAGTAGGTCAAGGAGAAAAACTCACCCATAATCCTACTGCCTCAACACAATCATTTGTTTCATTGTATTTCTTTCCTTCTGCTTTTATTCCACAGACATTCAACATTTTATTTTACAGAGGTATAATCATTTATATTCTTTTTTTATTTAGGATTACACTGAATACTTTAGCAAGTTTAATTATCATTTTGACGGCACCAGATATATTTAGGGATATATACACTATTTTGCCTCCCTCCCTTCTGCCAATTCTATTTTCCAGGGATGGTCCTTGAAGGCTTGCATCCCAGACTTCCAGACTTAAAAGAGCTCAAGTAGCAGCAAATTCCCACTTTGGTGAAGTAATATAGATGGCCTCTGACTTTACCGAAGTTATTAGGGGTTTAAATAGAAACACAAGTTTCATCTAAGATCATAACATAGAATGCTAATTATAAGTTTTGATTTATAGTCTATGAATTCACCATACATAGTGCCCCTATATCCGTAAACCTACCTGCTACCCTGTCTACTACTTCTTTTCTTCAAAAAACCAGAAGGCTGAATCTAATTCAATTCAATATACTACCTTAAGTAGTTGTTTTAGAGGAAAAAGAAATTCAAATTCTGAATTATTCAAGTAGTACAGTGGCTGAAACTTATATTTTACTAGGAGATAAACAAAAACTAACAACAGTATTTCCCCCATTTTTCTAATGTTACACTGTCATTTTTTAAAGCACACTATTAAAACTTTTTTCTAAAAGTGTCATAATTACATGACGCAAATTTACTACATGGCCTACAAGAGGAAATAGAGGGAGTAAAATAATTTCAAGTCCATCTGGCTTCATATGAAAAAGCCAGTTTAACAGCTTTCAGCTCACTGACATTTATAAAGTCTTTTGTACATTCCCTAAAAAAAAAAAGAAAGAAAGAAATACACACCTCTAATGTCAAGTGGGTCATTTCCAGGATAGAGGTGTTAGTTTCCTTCCTTAGCATTACTCATTCAACTATTCAGTCAGAGGCATAACCCATTTAGAGATATAATAAACAAATGTCTTTTACGTCCTTCAAGTTAAAACTCAAAGCCTAATTACAAGTATCATAAGCATAAATTGTTACTTTTTTGGTTCTTGGACATTTGGGGTGCACTTTATCAGAATGCAATATGCTATCTATCATATTTGAATAAATTGCCTGTTTTAAAACAAAGCAACAAGCTAAAAAAAAGCCAATTAGTAATAACTATGTTCATACTTTTTTCAATATAATTGCTTATTCTGTATGATAAAATTTGTAGTAAATCAACTCCTGAAATAAACACTTGATTGCATACTCATGTGTCTATGGCTATCATCCTCACTAGGTTTCAACATAACTAACTGTAACTGTGCCTGGTAAAATGAATTAGTACTAAATTCTTAAAATAATCATTAACGAGAATTAATTGGCACAATCTACCAATTTACTCTTCAATGAGTAACTAGCTGACAAAGAGGAATTACCCATTACAAAATTAAAATTGTGACTAACATTGGAGAGCAAATAAGTTTATGCCATATAATTTGAAAGGATCATTGGTATATTAATACAGGTAGTTTTGGTAAAGAGAAGATAATGGAATACATAGTACCGTTGTCGACAATTGCAGACCTTGAGAAAATCACTTCCTTTCTTGTTTCTGCACCTGTAAAATAAAGGGATTAGGCTATAACATCTCTGAAGATTTTACAATTTGAGTTTATGTGGCTTTCCATAACTGTTTATGAAAAATAGCTCTTAAGGTTTTGTTATATGTCTAAATGCAAGAATACCACTATTTACATGACAATTGCTGTCAGTCTACAATTTCTAAAATTTATTTTATAATTACTTTTGCAGACAGGGTCTTTGTTCTATTGGCCAGACTGGACTGCAGTGGCAAAGTCAGTTCACTGCAGCCTTCTAGTCTTGGACTCACGTGATCCTTCCACCTCAGCCTTTTAAGTAGCTGGGATTACAGGCTTGAGCCACCTTGCCCTGCTTAAAATTCATTTTCACTTATTGAGCTCTCTTTTTTTTTTTTTTTTTTTGAGACGGAGTTTCGCTCTTGTTACCCACGCTGGAGTGCAATGGCGCGATCTTGGCTCACCGCAACCTACGCCTCCTGGGTTCAGGCAATTCTCCTGCCTCAGCCTCCTGAGTAGCTGGGATTACAGGCACGCGCCACCATGCCCAGCTAATTTTTTTGTAGTTTTAGTAGAGACGGGGTTTCACCATGTTGACCAGGATGGTCTCGATCTCTTGACCTCGTGATCCACCCGCCTCGGCCTCCCAAAGTGCTGGGATTACAGGCGTGAGCCACCGCGCCCGGCCTTCAGCTCTCTTAAAGTGAACACTACCTATATATTTATAGAAATCACCAAAAAAAAAAAATATGATATATATTCATGTAAGATATAGAACTGGTAAATTTGTGTAATAAACTTGGAGAAGTGTGAAGATGATAAACTAGTCCATGAAAGTTCTTATCTGCCATTCTTTTTGTACTTGGAGGATATGGCAGGAGCTATGTATGCACTGCTAACCGTTTCCCAAGGATACGTGTTACCCTCCAAATTGTACCATGTTGGTAAGCACAAAAGCCAAATATCCAAACAAGCTAACTGGGACCACTCTAGTTAAGGCTAAATATTGGTAGGAGCCATTACATGTGAGTAGGGCTGAAATTTTCACATTACATTAGAAATGTAAGGGTTATTATTCAATTAGTTCCATCTCTTTATTTCTAGTGAGAAAACTGAGGTCCAGAAATAACTTGCCCAATGTTACAGATTCAATCACTGCTAGCTGACAAGAGAGCCCAGATCTGACTGTCGATTTAATTCTACATCATACTGTCTTCTAAAAAGCTCTGAGAAGTAGGAAAAAATCTAAATGGAATGCAAAGTCTCAAAACCTTACACACAGTACACCTAGTTCAACTTTTCATTTAAATTTGGAATTTCTTCTGTGAAACCTATGACAGATATCATTCAGCTTTGGCTCTGTCTCTACTCATTAATACTTAGGAGGCAATTCCTTTCCTTTATGGACAAATAGCCATAAAGTTATTTCTCATACTGAGCTCTAATCTGTCAAATATTTGAGGCAGGTATTACTCCTCAGTGACATCTTACAGCTGGTTTCAGGTTTCAGTTTATGGTACCTTTTCCAACTTGGCAAATACCTCAGGATTTGCTCTAATTTGTAAATATCCTTTCACTGCATCCTGGAATAACGTTAGTAATGCAACTGTGGTTTGAACAGCACTTTTCTGTATCATTTTCCCATGATGTATTCTTCAGCACTCTAAAATCAGATGTTTCTACACAATTGACTTATGTTATTTCCAGCAAGCTAACATCTCCAGATTTTTTTAAATCTATACTCTTGACGGGTGTTGTTTCTTTTTTCTATCAATGGCTTTCTATTGTTTCTAGGGTAAACATTAGGATTCATGATGCCATCTGTAATTTTTTTTTGAGATAGAGTCTTGCACTGTCGCCCAGGCTGGAGTGCAGCTGCTCACTGCAACCTCCGCCTCCCGGGTTCAAGTGATTCTCCTGCCTTAGCCTCCTGAGTAGCTGTGATTACAGACATGCACCACCTCACTCAGCTAATTTTTGTATTTGTAGTAGAGACGGGGTTTCACCATGTTGGTCAGGCTGGTCTCAAACTCCTGACCTCGTGATCCGCCCACCTCGGCCTCCCAGAGTGCTGGGATTACAGGCATGAGCCACCGTGCCCGGCCTATAATTGTGTTCCTAATTAGCAGCCTCATTCCTAGGTCAAACTTGCTCCTTGAACTCTGACCAGTCTTCATTGTTTTTTTTTGAGACAGTCTCGCTCCGGGTTGGAGTGCAGTGGTGCGATCTCTGCTCACCGCAACCTCTACTTCCTATGTTCAAGTGATTCTCCTGCCTCAGCCTCCCAAGTAGCTGGGACTACAGATGCATGCTGCCACACCCAGGTAAGGTTTTGTATTTTTAGTAGAAATGGGGTTTCACCGTGTTAGCCAGGATGGTCTCAATCTCCTGACCTCATGATCCACCCACCTCGGCCTCCTAAAGAGCTAGGATTATATGCGTGAGCCACTGCGCCAGGCCCAGTCTTCATATTTAACTATACCTTCCTTCCTCTAGGCTTCCATATGTTATTCATTCCCTTCAGCCAGGAATGCTTCCCCTGTCTACCCAGTTCTTAGTTATCCTTCAAAACTTAGCTGAAATACCCCTTCTCTGAGTGACTCTTCCTTGCCCTGCTCCCCATGTTTTCCTCCCAAAAATACATTTTACCTGTTACAATATCCTATAAATCTCCTTCAGCCCTTATCAAAATAGTACTATTTGTGCAATGAGGTGCCCATCTCCTTAGCTATACCATAAAAATCTATGAGGACATAGTCTGAATTTACCTAGCACAGACTTGCATGATTTATAGATTCAATAACTATCTGCTGAATGAATGAATGCTGAATAAATAGGATCAATATTTAGATTTCCCCAGGTAATCAAAGAGAACATTTAGCCAAGCCCTGGGTTGCATGCTATACAAAGAAGAAACTGTATAGGTTACAAGACAATGTTGAGAAAGACCTCTCCAAAAGAAGTAATGATATAATTTAAAAAAATTTCAAACTATGTCCTATAAAAACGAAAGGTAATTTTTTTTCACTCTTTCTACTGTGGGGGTGGGGAGCATGGAATAAGGCAAATAAGCACAGGTCAGTGGTATATTTGTTGTTTTACTGTTAATTTGACACATCTGAACCAAAGCATTCACAATATTTGATATACTCTGAAGAGAATCATATACTATAGTCTTAGACATAACCACAGAACAAGCAGAACAATTAAAACTACATAAGGCCTTAAAATATATCCACAGTGTGTATTACTTCCCTATTCATTCATTTACAAATTAAGACTACATACCATTAATTTTATTTGTATCTTTCTTTCATTGTTTTATTCAGGCAGCCTTCATCCAAGGAAAGGCAACTTAGTTTTTGTGTGTGTGAGCTTTATTTTTTTACTATATTGGTTAATATAAAAGTTATGAATTAAATGTATTCTTATCTCCTGTAGACAGGAGTGAATCCGTGAAATTTTCAGATAGTAATCCAAAACAATAGGTCCTATTTTTAAAAACAGCCAAAGTGGGCCAACCACGGTGGCTCACGCCTGTAATTCCAGCACTTTGGGAGGTCAAGGCGGGCAGATCATGAGGTCAGGAGTTTAAGACCAGCCTGAACAACATGTTGAAACCCCATCCCTACTAAAAATACAAAAATTGTCCAGGCGTGGTGGCGGGCATTTGTAACCCCAGCTACTCAGGAGGCTAAAGTAGGAGAATTGCTTGAACCTAGGAGATGGAGGCTGCAGTGAGCTGAGATCAGTCCCCTGCACTCCAACCTCGGTGACAAAGCAAGACTCTGCCAAAAAAAAAAAAAAAATGGCTAGTGAAAAGGGATCAGATAGCCAGTCTGTTTGTGGTCTATAAGAACAACTAATGGACTTTCAGGATTTCATAAAATGAAGACTACTGCAATTCTATGAGATCAGTCAAAACTTAAAACATTGCATACAAAATCATTCTTGAAATCTCTAAATGCCTTTTAAATAACCAGCATGAAAATTTTAAGTAGTTGCCTCACAGTACCAAACTCAGAAGTCAAAACTAGTTAAAATTCAGTGCTATCATGACTTCTCATTTACAAGGTAACTCATTGGTAAATTAACAGATGGCATAAAAATTAAAATTTACATCATTTTTAAAGGATAAATGTATGTAATCAGAGTATACAGAAAATTCAATGTATTGTACAATAAAATAACTTTAAACCTCTATCCCTGTACAACAGGGTTTAGGTTAATTCTAGTGAACTTGCATGTTTTTAAATCTCTTTTACAGTTCATTCTGAGTACTTACATTGCTTTAGATACACAGCTTTTTTCAAAAGAATATTACAGTTGTACACCAGGATAAGATTTAGTACATTGAGATATTTTAAAAATATTTATAAATTTGTTCCTAGTATGCAAAAGCATTTGGCAATACTTTTACAGCATTTGATCTTATAGAATTAATTAAAATCTCATACAGTACTCATCTTGATGTTAAAAAAAAATTCACAGAAAAAATATAAATTGCACAGCCTGACTGCATGATACTGTTATTTCCAGTTTTTAGTTCTGGTAATTAAAACCTTCATTAAGTCTGTTAACAAATCATTACCTGTACATTTATGAAGGCAACTGACATGATTTGCGAACAAAACCTTCAGGTTTTATGTTATTTACCAAAGAGTGCAGTTCAGCAAGAAAGGAAAGCCCAGTAGCAAATTTACAGAATATTTTACAAATTTACCAGTTCCTGTGAAACAAACTGTTTCAACCTTTCAAGATACTGTCCATAAAGTTCCACATCATTGTGACCTGCTCCTTCAACCCAGAGAGGCTCCACAGGTCTTTGGCAACGTTCAAACAATGCCAGGCCATGTGAAAAGTCAATGACTTCATCTTCAGTCCCATGAATTATTAATACTGGAGAGGTTATCTTAGAGATTTTGTCAATGCTGCAGGGAAAAAGGAAGGGGGAAAATGCAATAAATTAGCTATGTAAAGGAACATAAAACAAATATTCTTGTGCTATATCAGACACACAATTCAAACACGAGAATTGTTTGAATCAGTTCAGAAGGTATGAATGTCTCTTGAATTTCCAATAATATTCAAAAATTGCCTTTTACATACTCCCTACCTTAAGATTATCTGAGGAAGTTATTTTCATGCACTGGTTTTGATGGTTTTGGTGCAGTCACTCTTGCTCGTCACTCTATTTTACCTTTCTACAATGTTGACTTTTGGCACCGAGAAACTTAGGTGTCCAGAAGAGGAAAAAGCTTAAGAACTATTTCAAGTATGCGCTAACTTCACTTTCTGCACTTATTATATTCTTTCTCCTAGTCTCCTAGAAAAATGACAGCAAAATGTTTTATGTTTTTTGTTCTTGTTTGAGGATAAAGATACAAAACCAAGGAGAATGTACTAAAATACAATAAAATGTTGGAGCCGGAAAGATGATTAATGCGTGAAATATTACAAGGATAGAAGAAAACACAATTTTAGGCAGAGAGAAGGTAAAGCGATGAATGAAACCAATTTATACCATAGAATACCCTAGAAAGCTAAGGAATTACCATGGTGATGAAGGGGGTGACTGAAATATATAGGATTTGTTCAGTTTGTGGAAGAAAGTTAGCCTCCTCTTCCCAGGTCCTTTTGCCTGTTCATATACCCAGAAACTGCCTTCCCCAAAGACTGGAATGTCTGTGGACTAGACGACTACCAGAGTTTAGGACAGAGGTATCATAAAGACCAAAGAAACACATATATTTATATACTGGCTACTATACGAACCCATTTTCCCTATAAGCCTCCCAGAATGCTGGTAGCCAGGCCACTGTCCTCCAGGAGGAAGTTTTAGAAAGAGCTTTCTTTGGAGATTATATCAGATTAGCCCTTTAGTTGATCTGCTAAATCTTAATTGTCTGCTTATATGTAAGAATAAAGAGTTGGTTGGCTCCTTTACTTACATATAAACAGACAACCAAGATTATCAGACATGAGAGGATAACACTTCAAATAACATAGGGATCAAAACAAACACTTTAGACAGAAACTACACGGACAAACCTTTTTAAGAATACCTAGAAAAAGATATTATAATGAACATAAATGAAAATGGAATTTTGAAAAGGAAAAAACCATCAATGAAATAATCTAAGGCTGCATTTGTTAAGAATAAATATTTGGGTTTACTACCTGCTGTCACAAAGATGGTCAACAGTAGAGGAATTAAAACTTGAATAAAAAATAAAAAGAAATATATTATCTTTTTCAAACAGTTTTTTTGTTTGTTTGTTTTTGAGGGGCAGACAGGGTCTCATTCTATCACAAAGGCTGGAGTACAGTGGTGACATCATCTGTGTCTCCCAGGTTCAAGGGATTCTCATGCCTTAGACTCCCAAGTAGCTGGGATTATAGGCGTGCACCACCATGTCTGGCTAATTTGGTAATTCTCATGGAGATGGGATTTCACCATGTTCATCAGGCTGGTCTCAAACTCCTGGCCTCAAGTGATCCGCCCACCACAGCCTCTGAAAGGGCTGGGATTATAGGTGTGAGCCACTGTGCCTGGCCAGTTTATTTTTTAGTGTTGCTCTCTGTTGGTGTACCAGAAATGAAAGAGATAGCTTGACAGAGATGTAAGTTGGCAACAACACTGACATAGAGATACTCAGACACATCCCTATCATTTTTACCATTCAGCTAGAAAGAAGTATAATTTTATTTTTATTTACCTGACTGGTCACCTGCTAATACCCTCTCTACAAATTAATTTTTCTTAATTTCTGTGTGCTAATATATATAAAATAGAAGCTTATGGCTGAGTGAACTGTATCATGAATACTTTAAATGATGAAAAATCCCCAAGTTTCTTGGAAACTGAACTACTTTGAATATTGCTACTTACTTTGGGAATGCATCAAAACAGTAGGTCTTCTTAGTATCAGGAAAGGCAACTCGCATTCCCGAGGTCAGAGGAGAATGAAGAATAACAGCAGCACTCTCATATCGAGCAGCAAGATCCACAGATGGTACTGTACCTATACTTTGGCCATATATAATCACATTTTCAGGGCGAATGCCATATCTACAAAGTTCAGGCATTAAAAAAAAAAAAGTTGGAATGCTGTGAAATGTTCCATCATTCTGAAGGATTTGATCTTAGAATAAGACAACGTTAACTAATCCATATTTTAAACTTATTACTGCTATTTTTAACGTTACAATAAAGTTCGTATCACCAGCTTATTTCATGTGTTTCTACTTCATCTTTTAGAAGAGTAATAGCTGAAGTATTTTAAGATTTCAATCTTAAGAACTAAACTTACTAAATAATTTATTACACTATAGTATTTCAATCCAGCATACTGTTGACTAAGTTTGGAGCACATAACTAATATTTTAATGAATAGATATTGAATGAATAGGTCATATTTATTTTCTATTCAATGTAACAAAAGTTATTTATTTCTCCATATGTCAAGAGTGGCTCATTTTAATTTCCAAAATTGGTCATACTGATGAACTGCTACATATAGTTATGATATAATGAATAAAATATATGTATGGTTTTAGTCAAGAGCAAATTATGATTTTACAATTTTTCTTAAAATTTGTCTTTGCCTAGTTGTAGAAATAGACTAATGGTTGAAAACAAAGAATTCCAAACACCATATGGTCCAGTTATTTATGAATAGACTTCATGCTAATCTCAAGGTACTAGGTAATCCCTTTCAAATGGCTGCAGGTTTAAACAGGTGAAAATTCACTGATTCAATAAGTATTTATTGGGTACCTAGTTTGTTCAAGGAACTGCACGCTACTTGTCTAAAGTATAATTATTCCAAATGTAAACTACTGCAAGTGCCAGTGCAGTGCCACCTGAGCTAACGAATATGGGGTTAAAGGTTATGTGACATTAAATACATCTTTCCACTTAGAATGCAGACAGCAGTCACTCTGACAGCTAAAAGCACAGCAGCTTCTTTTGGAAATCTTTTGCAAAGGTAAAAGATCTTTCTGAGAATCTGAATATTCACCAGCAAACAGTGAGGCAAATTGTCCATGTGTTCTCTTCCAGGGGAATAATGCTATTTCAACTATACAGGTAGTAACACAGCTCTCCCCACATAGTTTCTTCAAATCAGTACTATACAAGCATTTGGATAGGACACAGAAAGTGGAGCTCTGTCTACTCCAAATTGACTCTAAATGTTAGCAAACTCAGAAACCCCTTTTTTCTTTACAACAGACCTAGCTGCACATATTTCATATGAATGAACAAATTAGGAGAATGAACATTTGCAGCATAACCACAATTCTTCAGGCTGCATTGTTGCTGTCAGCTGAATAACAGCCTTGTTGGTGGCAATCATGAAATTTGGGCTAAAGCTAGCAATGACAATGCTCCAGGATGGAGTCACAGAGGTAGCTGACAATTAAGCATTAGAGGACTCACAAGAGTAACAATTGCCTAACAGTATGAGCTAGAAAGGAGTTTAGAGACCATTTAATCTAGAGTCCAGCTGCCTAATGAGTAGATCTTCAAAGTCACAGTAGGTGACAGCTCTGTAATTAGAACCCAGGTATACTGACTCCCAGTTCAGTGTTTTTTTTTTTTTCTCTGAAGCACACAGATGAGGAGCTCAAGGACACTGTGGGAAAGGTGCATAGTGAATGCCATGCCCTTAGCTTCTTTTAGTCCAACAGAAGGTCAGAAATTGGAGTTATTAGGGATATCCAATTTTCCCAAAAAGGACATCATTCAAATAATAATTATTTAAGTTCATTATTTATTTTATCTCTTCTCCTGGTTACTTCCACCTTAACTTTTAATCAGGCAAAGAAAATTAAAAGGCATATATTCTAATTAGACACATTTCATTAGATGACTGAATTCTAGAACTGTTAAATTATCTTTTCTCAATCTCTTCATTAAACAGACAAGGAAACATGGGCTCAGATAAGTTATATTTCCTAAAGTACCTATACTTACAAAACTCCTCCAACTATATTTTGGGTTCAGCATGAAAGAAAACAGAAGTCTACAGCACTTGGTAGCTTAACAAAAAAAGAAGAAGAAAAAAAAGAAAACAGAAGTCTAAAATTCTAAAATATAAGTACTAAAAATAGTATGGGATTACTGATAAAATCTGCCCATTACTCATTAATCCTGGCTATCACATATGTTAAAAATATTAATCAAGACTGAAAATCATTTTTGAAAGTATTCTTCAAATTGATAAATGCCAAGATTCAAAAAAAAAAAAAAAAAAAAAAAACACAAAAAAACCCAGTAAAGTTGACCACTTAAAAATGGGATTTTTTTTCACATACACACAGAACACTGAACTGAACACTAATATGTTTTGTTTGAGTAAAGTGACCTTTTTGTGTTACTGGGAAGCACTACTAATGAAGGTGAGTTTTAACTTAGCACCCTTTAAAACTTCATTATTCCACTGAAGTTAAACTTTAAAAGTGTGAACCTTATGGCTCAAATAAAGCTATTTTTTTTTTAATTACAGTACTTTCTTAGAGTTATGATACCTTATTCAACTGGCTGACTGTAAAAAGTTGGCATTCAGTTTTTTTTGTTTTAAGGCCTGATAGAACTGATACCAATATACCTAAAAAATGAATTTTTATGTAGAACTTTGTTTTATGTAGAATTTTATTAGATTTCTTTGGAAGGAAAAATAGTTTTAAAGATATTTTTAATGTCTTTAATAGTATTAACCTTTAATAATATTAACTATTTTAATATTATTTAAATTGAGGGAAGTCTTCCTAAATGAAATCTTTAATATTTAAACATTAAATTAGAAACAGTAAATTTTCTTTATATCCTATAGCTTCAGTCTAAAACACCCTGGAAATCAGGTATTTTATTTGCATATAATATAAAGAAGAGCTTATAATAAGGTATCTGTTTATTGTACACTAACCTAATAATACACTGAAGTCTACCAAATTGTGATTTTTTTCAAGAAAAATGTTTAGGTATCTTGGTGACTAGAAAAGATTAATGCACTAGGTTCTCCAAAATGTGTTCTGCTATAATCAAAGAATAACACAGTAAGGAAATTTTATCAAACAGTTTATCATAATATTATTTATTCATTTTTTGAGCTGGAATCTCACTCTGTCGCCTGGGCTGGAGTACAGTGGCGTGATCTCGGCTCACTGCAAACGCCGCCTCCTGGGTTCAAGCGATTCTCCTGCCTCAGACTCCCAAGCAGCAGGGATTACAGGAACCCGCCACCATGCCCAGCTAATTTTTTGTATTTTTAGTAGAGTCAGGGTTTCACCATATTGACCAGGCTGATCTCAAACTCCTGACCTCATGATTCACCCATCTCTACCTCCCAAAGTCCTGGGACTACAGGTGTGAACCACTGTGCCCAAGTTAAAAAATTCTTTTTACTTGATATCATCTCTCCCAATTTTAGGAATCCAGAATATAAAGTAAAATCTCATTCTTACAGAATGAATATTTGAAAAAGTTCCAGTAATGCATCTTTAAGTTGTACTTCCGAAGAATAATCACATAAAATAATGTAAAATCTTGGCTTAGGATTTTAATAGAAATGATAGATCAAGTGAATAATTAGCTAAGTCAATATTTTCTCTCATTTCCTTGCAAGTTTGCAGCTTTGAATAAACATTTTTTTATATCACACTCCAATAAGAAAGCTTACAAAACCAAACATTTGTCACTGGATTTAATTTCTTTTTTTTAAACTTTTTAAGAGACGAAGTCTTGCTCTGTCACTTAGGCTGGAGTGCAGTGCCACGATCAGAGAGCACTGCGGCCTCAAATTCCTGGCCTCAAGTGATTTCCCCTGCCTTTGCCTCCTAAGTAGCTAGGACTATATACACATGCACCACCGACATCCAGCTAAGGATTTAAATTTTTTAAAAAATCATACATATATACATAAATTAATGGAGACAAACAAACCTGAAACTGTCTTTAAAAACACTGTTTTGCTATAATGTGAAATTTAAAACTGTAATCTAAAAGTTTAATTATTCACAGGTATATAATAGTTAAGTATAATCTCTATATAGCACTTATGTATAATAAAACAACTTTTATTCTATTCTTACACAAGATATTTTTAGCTAACAATCACGAGTATGAAAAATATCGTCCAACCACAATTTACCTTGTCCTAAGAGCAAGCCAAGCAGCTTCAATGTCTGCATAGAGGTTCTTCTCTGTGGGTTTCCCAGAACTTGCACCATATCCAGAATAATCATATGAGAATATATTACAATTAATCCGTGATCCTAGACCTATGTAAAAGCTGCTCATTTGACCAAGATCAACAGCATTTCCATGTGAGAAGAGTAAAGTGTATTTCGCATTGGGTGAGCAACGTACGAACATACAGGCAATTCTGTTGCCTTTACTGGTTCTAGTCATGAAACACTCAATAGCATCTTTCTCTCTCGAAGAATACTGCCAGTCTGCTCGTTCAGATAGATGTAAAGTCCAACGGCTTCCACTTTCATCACACATCAGCGTATAAGTTGGATCAGGTGGCAAAAACGCTAATTTTGAAGCAATTTTCCCTGGACAAGGAGGACAGCAGAAGAGGCAACATAGCTCACTAAATGAAAGATTATTCATGCTCTGAAAAAGAAAAGGAGATAGCAAATATTTTAATAATTGAATGTAGATTCTACATTCTCATAAAATAGACAGTTAAAACAAAGATATGGGTAAATTTTATTGGTGGTTAATGACTACTACTATTATTTTAAGTATGATTCCAAACAGATTTTTGGCTTCTTTCTTTTTTTTTTGAAATGCAGTTTCGCTTTTGTTGCCCAGGCTCGAGTGCAATGGTGTGAACTTGGCTCACCAAAATCTCCGCCTCCAGGGTTCAAGCGATTCTCCTGCCTTAGTCTCCCCAGTAGCTGGGATTACGAGCATGCGCCACTACACCTGGCTAATTTTCTATTTTTAGTAGAGACAGGGTTTCTCCATGTTGGTCAGGCTGGTCTGTAACTCCCGACCTCAGATGATCCACCCACCTCAGCCTCCCAAAGTGCTGGGATTACAGGCATGAGCCACCACGCCTGGCCTTTGGCCTCTTTCTAGAACTTTAAATCCTGGAGTGAGGCAAATATCCCTGACCAGCAGACAGACTCAAATACTATATGACAGGTTTCAAATAGCAGTGATTATTATCTCATTTAACAAAAATGTCAAAAATGATAAAGTAATATTTGCCATTTCTTTACAAATAACACTGAAGGTATGCAGTATCTTTAGTGTAGTCTGTAATTTCTAATGTAACTCAGCAAAACTTCTTAGAACCTCATGGAGAAGCTAGGGATGTAGCATAAAGCAAATACATAACAACAACATTTATGAAACTATTTGTCAGGTATTGTGCCAAATGTTCTATGTATATTACTTTAATTCTCAAAACAACTGTGTTTAAGTTGGCGTGAGAAAGGAAACTTGTACAAGATGAGGCAGTAGTGGAGCCAGCATTTGACTCCAGGCTGTCACTACACTATGTTACTGGGCTACACAGCCTCACAGATTCAGAACACATTCAGAAGACTATCACTTTGGTTATAGTACCAGTGGCCCAAATAACCTATATAACACTAAAGTGTGTGTATGTATGTAATTACTGCCCAAACTAAAAAGGCTATACTGTAAAGTTTATTATGGAAAAAAGGTAAAATCTACTAAAGGCAAACTTTTCTAAATGTTTTGAAGAGAAAGAGTACAAGGTTTAAAGTTAGGAAGCTGGGGTAAAATCCTAACTCTACCACTTACCATTTACCAGCTGTATGTCCTTGGGCTATTTTATCTCTTTGACTCTCATTTTCTTCAGAAGTACACAAGGCCAATACCTACACTGAAGGAAGTGGTTGTGAAGATCAAATGATGGTGTAGTGAAGGCCCATCATACAGTGCGTGATGGCCATACAGTTGGCACACTTTAACTTAGGGACAAAAATAAAGTAATACTTGTTTGCTCTATCAGTATTTCCTTCTATCTTGTCCTTTTTCAAACTCCTCTTTTTAGCAGAATTAGACCATTGCTTAGTTCCAGAGAGAAGGTATTCAAAACTAACACCTTACAGGTTTGGTGGCATCCAATTTTCTCCAAAAGAAAATCTAAATGTAAGAACAGGAAAAAAAAAAAAAAAAAACTACATTATTATACCAAAAATGGGAAGAAAACTCAAGAGAGTGACTAAATGGTTGAGAATATCTGGGGGGGAATGCCCTTTTCACTCATTACGGAATCAAATATAACCTATAATGTTCAATATAAATGTGTTTATATGAAACAGCAGAAAAAGCACAGCAAGAGAAAAACAAGGGTAAGTATAACACAAAGGGCTTCAAAAGGTGAGGGAAGGGCAGAAAAACATCTTGGATATTAGGAAATGTTTTAATTGTTTTCTACACCTTTATTCCTTTTTAGCCTTCAAAATATAGCCTGAATAAGTTAATGGCTTACTCTGGTTGGAACAAAAATTGGGACAGAAATGACAACTAGGTGTCATCTGCTAAGTTTAATTGAAGGCTTCCTGAAGTGTTGTGCTGAGAATGAAGGCATGCACCAGGCTTGGCCGGCAAAAGATATGTGATAAATTAGTGATGTTTACTACAGTCTCTGGCTACAAATTTACTATCCCAGTCAGGAGGATAAAGTGCCTGTTGAAGAGGATGGAAGGGTAAAGACTCAAAGGGTCTGTTCCAGAGGAGGAAATGACCTGCAGAAAGATTAGGTACAAGGTATAATATCAATGTTATCTGTTTAATATCTGCCTATCGTTATTTCTCAACCCCAATGACCTGATATATCATTTATTGCTGAGCCACAACAGCCTTTTAAAAAGCTTGATTTATAAGTACACGGTACATATCTAAACTATGGGCCTATAATTTACCTCTTAGCCAGAAAAACTTTTTTTGTGTGTTTTTTGTTTTGTTTTGTTTTTTTCTGAGATGGAGTCTCGCTTCCCTGCCCAGGCTGGAGTGCAGTGGCATGATCTTGGCTCACTGCAACCTCTGCCCCCTGGGTTGAGGCAATTCTTCTGCCTCAGCCTCCAGAGTAGCTGGGATTATAGGCATGCACCACCATACCCAAGTAATTTTTGTATTTTTAGTACAGATAGTGTTTCATGATGCTGGCCAGGCTGGTCTCAAACTCCTGACCTTAAGTGATCTGCCTGCCTTGGATTCCCAAAATGTTGGGATTACAGGTGTGAGGCACTGTGCCTCACAGAAAAACTTTTACACACTATAATAAACTAGTTTTGAAATAAATCTGGCTGGTTGAACACATATAATGCTGTGAAGAAGCTTCTGAGGATGAACACCAAAGGAAAGAAGCAGAGAGGAGAAAAACTGAAGTGCCAGAGTCTAGTTTAATGAAAAGATAACTTCATTTTTTTTTTAGATGGAGTCTCGCTCTGTCCCCCAGGATGGAGTTCAATGATGTAACCTGGGTTCACTGCAACCTCTGCCTCTTGGGTTCAAGTGATTCTCCTGCCTCAGCCTCCTTAGTAGCTGGGATTATAGGTGCCTGCAACCACACCCAGCTAATTTTTGTATTTTTAGTAGAGATGGGGTTTCACCATGTTGTAACATCAGGCTGGTCTCGAACTCCTTACCTTGTGATTTGCCTGCCTCGGCCTCCCTAAGTGCTGGGATTACAGGCGTAAGCCACCACGTCCAGCCTCACTTTCTTAATGTTGACAGAACGATTCCCACATCCAATGCCCAAAAGCCAGATAATTGGGCCTTATTTAATGACAACAACTTGCAAATGATCACTTTCCTAATAACAGGCCTGATATAGGGCAGCAACTCAGACCTACTTTCAAAAGTTAATTGAATACTTTTTCTCTAGGTTTAAAAAATTTCACAAAAAGTATAAACAAAACAAATCTAAGTTTTAGTATAATGTGAGCAGGTTACTGCAGAAAAAAACATCTCATTCTTTTAAAAAAAAAAAATCACTGAAATAGCCTGTTAAGCTTTAAAGTCCAACTTGTTCTTCTAAAACTCATGTAGGGCTGGGCACAGTGAATTGCTTGAGCAGTCACAATTAAAAAGCACATCAGCAAGCAAAAAGATCAGGGTGAATAATTTACAAATATGAATTTTTTTTGTGGGAATTAAGAAATAAAAAATAAAAAAAATTAATAGATAACAATAAGTAGAAATATCAATATCCATACTATAGAAGTCCCAAGGAGAAAATAAAGACAAAGACTATCCAATAATTTCTCAGAATTAAAGGGGGAAAAAAGGTCAGATTGAAACAGCTCAGAGTACCAAAAAACCAAACTACTTACAAAAGATCAGATGAACATATGACTTTCCAATATCAACACTAGAAGCCAAAAGACAATGGAGAGATAATTAAGCTAAAGAAGAAATGAAACTTTTAATCTAGAATTGTACATAGAGCAAAAATATGGCTTTAATATGAGGATAAAGCTATCTGGGCTGGGTGTGGTGGCTCAAGCCTGTAATTCCAGAACTTTGGGAGGCCAAAGTGGGAAGACCACTTCAGCAACATAGGAAGACACTGTCTCTATCACAAGTGAGAGAGAGAGAGAGAGAGAGAGAGAGAGAGAGAGAGAGAGGGAGAGGGAGAGAGAGAGGGAGAGAGAGAGATAACGATCTGCAGGCACACAAAAACTCTAAGACTTAACCAAATCAAGTCTGTCTTTGAAAAACTCCAGCAAGGAAGAAGGAGTTAAATCCAAGAGAAGGCCAGGCACAGTGACTCACACCTGTAATTCCAACACTTTGGGAGGCTGAGCTGGGAGGATTGCTTGAGCCCAGGAGTTCAAAACCAGCCTGAGCAACATAGCAAAACTCCATCTCTATAAAAAATATGAAAATTAGCCGGGCATGGTAGTGTGTGCCTGTAGTCTCAGCTACCAGGGTGGCTGGGGTGGGAGGACTGCTTCAGCCTGGGAGGTCAAGGTTGCAGTGAGCTGTGACTGAGTCACTACACTCCAGCCTGAGATACAGAGTGAGAGTCTTTCTCAAAGACAACAACAAACAAACAAAAACCTCCAAAACCCCAAGGGAATTCTGTGAGATACCTGAGATATGAGAAATAAAGGAGAATCGTTAATATGAAGTTTTTTGTACAAGTGAGCAATGGGAGCAAGGATGGTAAAGACAAAGTATATCCCTAAAAATCCAGAGTAAAACTTTAGTGAATATGAGTACGAAGAGGATTGATAAAAGAGTTAGGAACTATTTAAGAGGTAAAAATGTGCTGGGGTATCTGACTTGTTGAGGATGCTAACTGATACTGAAAAGCTTAAGACACAGAAGAAAGCATAAATATAAGTGTGACTCTTAATGTCTGATATAATCATCAGAAAAATGAGTGTAGGGCATATCTAAAGGAGTTATAATTATCCATTGCAAACGTCTAGCTTTAAATATTAATTAGTGTCCAACTTAAGGAGAGAATAAGCACAAAGAAACAAGAAAAAGAAAATTAAGGGCAGATATCAACAAAACAAATAACAAAAAGCAATGGAAAACCAACAGTTGATTTTAAGAAAAGGCTTCCACTACCACTAATAGCAAACAGCATTAACTGAACCCCTATGAAGTGTCAGGCA